AATGATTGATTAATTAATTGTTTTTTCCGGGCGCGACAACAATATTCTACAAGTGGGGCACCTACAAGTCACTTCGCCGCATTTTGATACAACGTGATAAGCAGTGGCTCACCCAAGGGGAGGGGGGTCACATGGAGATTCTGATCCTCAGAAACCAATAATATTAAAAAATATGGCCTTTACTAGTTGTTTGTACCAAAGAATATCATTCAATATATCCGTTGTTTACGTAACAATATTTACTATGTGTCAACCAATAAACACACATTTTATATTAAGTTTAAATGAAAGTTTATTTTTAAAAAAATATGAAGTCGGCTGTACTCTATACTTGTAGCCTCCAAGAGGAAAATGCTTGATAACGTCTAAATCTGCAACGGGAGCGTATCAAGAGGGCGGTTGGTTCCTTTGTTATGGAGTTGGCGGAGCGTGCTCTTTGCAGAGAACTCTCTCTCAATTCCGACGCGACTGGCAGCGAGCCACGTTTGGGGGGTCCCGATCGCATCGCATCGCATCGCATCGCCCAATCGCATTTCGCAATCGGCATCGCCATCGCTTTGTATCGTATCGTTCTGCTCCGCATCGCATCGCACCGTACCGTACCGCACCGCAGTGCGTTTCTCTCCTGTTGGCGCTGCCGCCGCCGCCCCTGGTGGCGTTTGCAAACAAAGTGCGTCCGCGGCAGGAAGCGGGGGCTGTTGGTTGGCCGTCGCGACGGAAGACGGAGAGCGTCGCACCCAGGGAAGAGGGAGAGAAAGGTGGCAGAAGCGAAGGAAGGTCGATGGCGGAACAAAGAAGCTGGAGACCAATTGGACGCTTCGAAGACTTCTTAACTAAAGATTTTATTTTGTTTACAGCGATCGTGCTACAGAGCTTAGTTTTCTCACAAACAGCAATACAGATGCAACTAAATAAAAACTAGGTACAAGCTGCTGAAACGTTTCCTTTTATCACATAATGAATTCAGTTATTTTCGATTGTGTCTGCTAAAGAGCATTATATTGTTCTCATATTCTTTGATAAGTTTCTTTTTCGCTATTACTGTGTATTGGAATGAGTATAAGGGGAAGAGTTAAACCTTAAGAGAGCGTACGTCGTACATTGCGAACAGTGTTTTTTTAGTTCGACTACCTTTTTCCTCGAACGCATTGAATTCATTGTGGAGATATCCTCAGCGCCAATTGCGGCGATGGGTGGAGACCTCCCCTTTTCTACTGCCCGGTTACCCGTCCTGGAAGCAGGGTCCAGCGCCTGATATGCGGCAGTCGCCGCTGCCAGCTGCTCAAGGAACGACTTTACTAATTTTCCTAAACACTATCATTTTCCTGCTTAGATGCGCTTGCTATAAGACAATTCAGAGCCTAATTGTTGTGAGATAGCATTTTATCCCGTAGATCGCCTTTGTGTGTTTGCTCCAGTACTACCGCGATCCTCAAGAGGTCCGCCGAATTGCCGCGCGGTTCGCCCTACAGGTTCCTCAGCTCACTGGTTCACCTCAACGCCGCAGGATGAGACCAGGGATGGAGAGGGGAGGGAGGGAGTGAGGAGGGGAAGGGAGGGGAGTGGGGGAGGATGCGGGGGGCGTTGGTC